TGCCTGAACAAACAGCAGCTAAAATCACCTTCTGATGTTTCAGCTGATGTCTGCCTGAACAAACAGCAGCTAAAATCACCTGATGTTTCGGCTGATGTCTGCCTGAACAAACAGCAGCTAAAAAAAAAACCTTCCTCTGATGTTTCGGCTGATGTCTGCCAGAACAAACAGCAGCTAAAGAGGAAAACAGACTCACCTTGAACTCGTCAGCAGACGCCATGTTGGCGCCGAGCATCCTGTCCCTCAGCATGGAGATGGGGTCGCTCTTGCTGCGAACCTCCTGGATCTCTTCACGAGTTCTGTAGCTGCAGAACACCAGAGGGTGAAACTAGAGAGCTGAATAACAGCCGAAATTTACTGAAGAAGCTGAAACTGAGTTGGTAACATTAAAACAAGAGGAACAGATGCTAACAAGAAGCTAAAGGTACCAAAACAGAAAGCAAAGGCAGAAAATTACAGGCTAAAAGTAGCCAAACAGATGATAAAATTACCAAAACAGAAGCTAAAAGAAGCAAAACAGAAGGTAAATGTAGTAAAATAAAGAATAAAAAAGCTAATAAGGGGCTAAAAGTAGCATAAAAGACAGCAGCACAGTCAGTAGCTGAAGCAGATTTGAGATAAAACATCTGTATTTATTTCTGTTTTTTTATTTTAAATAAAAAATTGTTTTAAATGTTTCAGAAACTTAACTTCACTGAACGAGCCGAACGTTCTCACCATTAAACAGCTAAAATAATAATTAGATTATAAAACAGCTACAGAGGAACGCTGACTCAGCGCTCACACAATAACAAAAAGGTTTCTGCTGAGTCATCATAAAGACGAACAGGTGAAGGTCCAGGTGACTCACCTGACGCCCGGGTCACTCATGCTGTGTCCGTGGTAACGGTACGTCTGCAGCTCCATCAGGATGGGACCCTGAAACACAGCAGGTCAACGCAGTGCATCATGGGAAATAACCAGCGCCTGCTCAGAGGAGCCACTCCGAGTCCTTCCAAACCCTGATGAGTCAGCGTTTTTCACCATGACTCGTGGTTTCTGAGGCTKCTGATGGTTTCATGTCAAAAACCGCTCAGGTTTTAAATAAAACAGTAAAATAAATTTAAATTAAATATGAATAAATAATCGTAGCTCTGCAAGTTTCAGTCACAAGCAAAGAGCAGCTAAAACAACATGACAGTAGCTAAAATTATCATTCAGTGTAATGTAGCTGAAACTGATCCTGACAGCAGGGCTGGGCCACACGGCCTAAAACCAATATCACCATTTAATGACCAGTTCACCTCGATAACAATAAATACACGATAACTCTTACCACCACACACAAGTACACAGTGTAGTATAGTAATAATACTATAATACACTGTGTCCATGTTCTTAGTCAAAGTACACAGTTGTGT